AGTGAGGCAGTGAGTGAGTGAGAGAGTGAGGCAGTGAGAGAGTGAGGCAGTGAGAGAGTGAGAGTCGACCCTCTTTTTTTTATGGCACTCTATGGAAACTTTTAGACAAGTATATTACTGAGAAAGCTTGTCTGCACCATTTGCTGTAGTAGAAACAACTGTTAAAACACTTTCTGTAAATATATGATTTTGTCCATGTCTAAGGTATTTGACAGACTCAGTATTTTTGTTTGTTTTTTAAAAATTTTTAGTGCCATTTCATCCACATGTCATATAATTCAATAATTTAGCCATATCAAGAAGAATTTTATAATCATTAGCACAATCAATTTTAGAACATTTTCTTCTTCCTTAGACTCATTGTTATTCATGTTACTAATTTGTAAAGTTAACAAAAGTATACATACAAAACATTCTCCAACTCACGAACTTCTACATATATAATTGTCACTGATTATACCCTTTGTGTTGTACAACTATTGATATCCTTTTCCAAATTATTTTAACACCATTAACATAAACTCAATAACCCCTAAGCAAAAACTCTTCCTACTTCACCCATGGTAACCATTGGTCATGTTTGGTTTTTTCCTTTCTTTTTTTCCCTAGTAGTATTTATGTTATATTTATATATCATTCACTTCCATAGTTAAATGTAGCAATATTTTTGTACATACCCAAGAAATTGAGAACAAATTCAAACAGATTTACAGTAGTAACCGAAAATTCGAACCAGCTAATGGCGTTTATCTAAGCACAAAGGAAATTATGGGGTTACAACATAAATGAACCTTAAAAATGTTAGCTAAGTTAAGTAAAAGGAACAGTAAAGGACAAATACTGTATGATTCTACTAATGCCAATTACTTAGACAATAAGGTGGGTAAAGATTTTCTGATTGGATTGATGAAACAGTCCTAGAAATAACTGGTTTTACAGCATAAATGTTCTTATGCTACCTTTCCTCACTAGCAGTAGTTGGAAATAGCTGACTGTATGCAGGGAGTAAATCTGCAGAAGACCTACCTCTTAAAGGAGCAAGCATGCCACGTTGAGAACTGAGATTTCCCGTGGTGCATGCAGTCACTTCATGTGCATGTGAAAGTAGGAAGTGAATGAGGAAAATTGAAGAAGATGCATTTGAGCTATGTTGTTGGCAGAGAATACTAAAGTATTGAAGTTGGCATATACTAACAGAAGACAAAACAAATCTGTCTTGGAAGAGGTATAACTTGAATGCTTCTTAGAAGCTCGGATGGTGAGACATACTGTGGACATGTTATCCAGAGAGGTCAGTCCCTAGAAAAGATCATCATGCTTGGTTAAGGAGGACAGCAGCAAAAAATAGGAAGACCCTAAATGAAATGTATTACTATTATATTATAATGGCAATGGCTGCAAAAATGAGCAGCAGTGTGTGAATGCTGTGGGGATGGTACCAAATTGGGCAATTTTTTGTTCTGTTGTACATAGTGTTGTTATGGTCTGGGGCTGAGTCCACGAGCCCTCACAACAGCAACAGCATCCTTTACCATCACAAAGGGGCTGACCCAAAGTAAACCGTGGACTTTAATGTGAAAAACAAAATGAGGATGCACTAAAAACCAGGATTCAAGGTGAGGAAGAGAGTTTTTTAAGCTACGGCAGCAAAAGCCCAGTTCATAAAATGATTTACTGCATAAAATCCAATAATAAATGTAGTCTAAGACTGCTGACTGCAAGGTTAGCCTTTAAAACCCTCCACTGGAGAAAGTTGATGCTGTCTCTTCCCATAAAGATTTACAGTCTCAGAAATCTATATAGGGTTACTGTGAGTTAGAATTCTTGGTGGCAGTGAGTTTCATTATTTTTTTAAGCTTTCTCTTCCCAGCCACAACTCCCTGAGTATTTTGTTTTTGATGCTTTTTAGGTGGAGTTTTGCTTCTAGAAAATCCAAAAGGTGATAATAAGTTGGACCTTTTAACAATGAAGAGTGTTGTTACTAGCATTTTTGGCATTCAAAATAGACAGCTGACTGTCTACTATGGTGAAACAGGTATGTGGAAAGTCAGAAGATGTCTATGTCCTGTGACATGAGTTAAATTGATTTTTATGTGTTATTACTAACATTACACACCCTTTGCTATTTCTAAGGGAAAGAGTGCTTACCATATGTACTCGAGTATAAACCGACCCGAATATCAGGCGAGGCACCTAATTTTACCACAAAAACTGCTTAAAATGTGCTTGGAAAACTCAACTTATACACGAGTATATATGGCAATTAAAAAAGACTGTGCTTACTTCATTTTGTGATCAAGATGCAAGAACACATTAAATGATGTGGGTTTAGGAGCACTGATAAGTGGTTACATATTGGGCTGCCAACTGCAAAGTTAGCAGTGTGAAACCACCATGAGTTATGGTCTTACAAGCTCAGAGATATGGTTCTGCCTTGTCCTGTAGGGTATCTATAGCTGAGAAACCACTCTGGCAGTGAGAGAGAAGCTTACGTGTTCGGCAGCTAACCATGGGTCATCAGTTTGACTCCACATTTTCTCCATCGGAGAAAGATGGGGCTTTATTTTACTTACTCACTTTATGAATTTAATGCTAATTTTTCTGAAACAGTCAAATAATTTAACTATAAAGCAAATTTAAATAGCCAACACATAAAGGAAAAATAGCTAAACTTCAAGAGAAATCAGGAATACACATGTGTAATTACTACTACGACTAATAATAATTATTAACGACTGGTTATCCACAAGGTTGGCAGTTTAAAACCATCATTTGTTCTGCTCAAGAAAGATGGGCTTTCTATTTCCATAGAGTTAAATCCTTGGAAACCCACAGGGGCAAATTCTACCCTGTACTATAGAGTCACTATGAGTCACCATCGGCTCAGTGGCAGTGTTTTTGTTTGTTTTGTTTTTTGCTTCTAATTCCTACTTTGATGAGATCTGCTGCCAGCAGCCAGTCAACTGAAAAGGAATTTCCTCAGGTATGTACCCTGCTGCCAAAATCTATAGACCTTTTTTGGCAGTCTCTTGATTTTTCACTAGATCTGGATCCTGCATCTAGCTCACGAATATCTTGGCTGCTGCATTGTCTGCCCAACATGGGAGTCCTTAGACTCTGCCTTGTGTCAGCACCCTCCCATTTTATCTGCCAACCATGGATTCATTCACCTCTGTAGCCACCAGCCTGCCATCTGATCTGCCAATCTTGGATTCATCAGCTGCTATAGCTGTGTAGATCAAGAGAGGCCTGTAACCTGAAATTGACCCATGGACTTAGAACTTGCCATCCTCTATAACCATTGCCACAGGAGAGTTCTCTCCAGAAGAGTGACTTCAAAAAGTTAGTCCAAAAGTTCCATTATTTTTTAATTCCATTTTCCCACCAACTTTTCATAGCCCCTTACTATTGTTACTATTACTCATATGTAAGTTTTATTGGATTTGGTTCTCTTAAGAGAACCCAACCTATGGCTGTTGGTAAAAATATCAAAAGTGGTATGGCAGAAACTGGCAAAGTAGCCATGTGTTCATTTAGAAGATCTAAGAAAATTTTAACTTGGATCCACAAATTTACTTTGTAAGTTAGTAGAAAGTTCGAATCTCTGTCTCAGGTGTCTGTAGAATGAGATTGGAGAGCAAGGACAAAGTGGAATCCACTTTGTCTAGCATATATCTAACACAGGCGGTCTGCAAAAAACAATGTAGATGACTTTTGCCATGGACATGTTTGCTCCCCAAAGCTGGATTCATTGTCCTGTGTGAAAGAAGCCAATAAAAATACACTGAGGCGAAGAGCAGAAGGCCGAGCTTTACTAAGAGAAGAGGGGAAATCCTTCAGATTCTGGTTCAGCTCATGAGCAAATCCATTATAGATGTGCTTTCTGCTTTTTATTTTCATGTGCCCTTTTTGGCATCTGTCAAATTGGGTGATGGATCCAGCTTCTAGAGGTTAACAATTTTTGATGTCCTAATTGGATCTCACTGTTTGCACCTGAATCCAGAGTCTTTTGTGTAAATAACAAAATCCTAACTAAAGTAATACTTTTTAGTTTGCTATTTCTTTCATTCAGCGAAAGTGGATGTCAATTCCACAACAAATTGGGCTCTAGCAAACATTTTGAACTAGACCTGAAGGCTAAAAAGTCACACCCTCCTTCTCACAATGCCCAGTGTCAAATACATCATGTGCAATAGTTGTTTGAAGAGGTTTGCAAAAAAGAAACTCATCTTTAATGTCGCCATCATTAATATACCTCAGGTAAACCAGTAACTGTGAACAGTTTGTAACGTTTAATAATACAAAAGATGGCACAGTTCAGTCAATACATTCATTAAGTTTTCTATGATTTACCATTCTGTTGTTTTTTTTTACATACCTGTTACTATCACAAGGGGGCAGTATTCACATCAACCACAGCCGAACATAAAAAGACCGATCAGCATCCAGATTAAATTCCCATGGTACAGATTTTTTTTTTTTTTTTGCAGTAGTGGATGATTTTACTCTATATAATTTTACATTTACCCAGTCATTATAATTCATGAAGTGTCATTTTACCTCCAATACTGCTGCTCTCTACACAGTCCCTGCTCTCTACACATCTGTGACTGGTCCACATAAGTACATTATGGCGCCAACCCTGTCACTACATCTGTATTTGTATGGGGTATATGTGATAGGGTTGGTGGGATGATGTTATCATGCCAGGTAGTCCTGTGTGGGCATATCTGCATGAGGACGGACCCTCTTGGAGATGGATATAGGAGCAGTGTCTTGGTTCCTAAGACCATAGGAAATATGTGTTTTCCAATGGCGTTAGGTGACCCCTGTGAAAGGGTTGTTTGACCCCCAAAAGGGGTCGCAACCCACAGGTTGAGAACTGCTGCTTTAGCATAAGATAATTGGTATAGAATATTGACTATGTTAAGGACTGCCAGAAGAGCAAACAAATCTTTCTTGAAAGAAGTGTTGCCAATATGTTCTTAGAAATGATGATGATGATTGACATGTTACCAGGAGGGACCCAGTGCCTAGAGAAGGACATCATACGTTGTAAAGTAGAGGGTTAGAGAAAAAGAAAATCCTGAATGAGATGGGTTGATGCACTAGGTGCAATAATAGGCTCCAACATACTGGGCAGTGTTTGATTTTGTTGTACATATGATCGCTGTAGTCAGAACTGAGTTGATGGTACCAAACAACAATTGAATTTTCCACTAAGATTTCAATTTCAAAGAAATGCATGGCAGATGAAAAATCTTTAATGGATGATAATGTAGTTGATGGTCAAACACTTTAACTCCTAAAAACAACTAAGTCAGCAGGAAACTAATTTAACAGCATCTAACAACAACATGCATCTCTAAACAGTGTTTAATTTTTTAATAAATGAAATTGTATTTTGTGTCGCTTATTTCAGCATGTTAATAAGTCAAATATCTTGTTTATCTCACTTGTAGCATTATTTTTTAATGTAAGGTGTCTTTGTTGTAAAGTTTGAGGCTCCGGTATTGAATGCAGTTTTAAGGAGCACTATGATATTCAGGACAAATTTTTAAAGGGGGAAACCAATTTTCCTTATAGTTAAGAATATCCGTATCATTTATATGTCATAGATTTAATACATGGGTTTTCTTTTATAAATTAAGCAGAAAGCATAACTACAAAAAGATATATAATGCTTTAATAGTAGGATGAAATAAACAACTTTATCTTTGAAATGTGTAGCCATGAAGAGTGAAAAGAAAACCAACTTTTTTTTCCTGTCATTTTTAGAAATAAAAGACCAAACTGACCTTCTTAGTCTTAGTGGGAAAACACTTTGTGTGACGACAGGATCAACCCCCTCTATGATCGACAGTCCCAGTACTCTACTCTGTCAGTATATCAACCTAAAGCTCTTGAACACAGTACCACAAGGTATGGTATCTTTACACTACTCTGGGAATATCCATAGCTATCAGATTGTGGAATAATGGGTATCAGTGCAGTGTCACTGACTGATAGATCTTTCAAGCCTGTTTAATGTAACAATTTGAAATAATGTGATTTGGTTCTTTGTGTGGAGTATTTTGGTATCAATGCTCCTATCCATCTCCCAAGATCAGAAAATTAAATAAATGAGTAAATAAATAAGGTAAAAATTAGAACAAAATGAAGCTGAATTATGTGCTACAACATTTTAATTTTACCTTATTATTTTCTAAGAAAATGTTCTGAAAATTACTATGCAATTTAAGACTCATGTATTTTGGGATCCTCATGGTGCACATTTGTTACTTGAAGTTCTAGGGCTCCTCACTTGCCTATTTATTCAAGCTCCTGGGCTATTATACTTGTTCCTTTTTTCTCATCATCTCTGGAAATTTGAGGCTATGCTGTGCAGTAGTACTTCAGAAGCCTCAGCATTGCTCCTTGGAATTAAGTGCAGTTACAGCCAACTATTTAGATACCTAGGAGCTGAGGGGTACATTCAGGAGATCTAATCTAGCTTATCCTTTAATTACAGAATGTTTAATGGGAACAGTTGGTACACTTCTACTTGAGAACCCATTTGGGCAAAATGGACTCACCTACCAAGGTCTTCTGAATGAAGCAGCCAAGGTATTTGGCCTTCGGAGCAGGAAGCTAAAGCTGTTTCTGAATGAGACTCTAACACACGGTGAGGAAGTTACAGATCATGATAAACTGATTTTATCATATTGAATGGTTTTAATGCCATCAAGCTATTGTAGATTGTCTTGTTTGTGATAGAATACTATATGCCATTTTTCAGAAACTTACCATCATATTTTAAAGAATGGGCTCAAGCTTAAGAACAATTGTAAGGATGGCGTAGGACCAGGCCGTGTTTTGCTTTGTTGTTCATAGGATCACTATGAGTATTAGCTGACTCGATGACGTCATAGCATCTAAATGCAACAATAACAGCTTTTAAAGAATAATAATCTTGACTTTGAAAATAATCTTAAAAATGACATTTATATATTAATAAACACAAATGCTTATTAACACATAAGTATATTAGTAATGTATTTGTTGTTCCAAAAATTGTTTCTTCCTTAGAGGTTAAATTTATCAGAAGATTGTAAGAGTATAGCCTGAAACAATCTCATAAATGACATTGTGCCTCCCTTTTACAATTTATCACTTGCATTTTCTCATTGACTTAGAAGAGAGCTTGAAGGTTGAAGGGATGCATCATTTTTCACTATATGACTCAGAAAACTATGACTTGGAATACACAGCTAGTATATGCAGATCCTTTATTGTTGTTCCTGTTTCTTAAACTCAACCTTCAGATCATCTGCTTCTTGAGCTGAGCTTCTATGACTGTTTGAAAGCTACTCTACCAATACTGTAATCCTTCCTTCTGCGTTCTGTTTCTGTAATCCATAGTACACATTGGGTATGTTCACTCTAAGACTGTTGCCTTAATACCTTCTCTTTGTGGCATCTTCTGCTAATTAGTCATCCTTTTCGTCATGTCAACTATGCCATCCTTTATTCATATATCGTCACATTTACTAGATATTCTGAATCATAATTTGTATGTTTTAGCACTTGTAGAAAATTGCCGTTCTACTTCTGTATCAGCTCTTTTCATTCTTTCTTAAGTAGTACCTCTTTCTGGAACTTTCATTAGACATTTTTAAAATAACTCTTCACTATATCCTCCCTGTTTCTTGTTCTCTTGATATTTTCCTTCTTTCTGTACTTCTGTGATACATTTTTTATAATTTGGACAAAGTCATCTTAATTTTTGTACTTGTTTAAGTAATAAGGGTGTGGTTTTTTTTTCCCCTTCTGCCCCCTCTCAATATTTATTTATTTAGAGAAACAAGATTATTTAAATATAATATTGTTAGGTATAGATTTTTATTGTTTGGTCTTCAATGTTATCTGCACTTTCTGGCCATTATTACTCAGTTTCTTCTGTTCCTTTTTATCTTTCTATTTTCTTATTATTTTTAAATCATTTTATCGGGGGCTCATACAACTCTTATCACAATACATCCATCCATTATGTAAAGCACATTTGCATGTTTGTTGCCCTTATCATTCTCAAAACATTTTTTTTCTACTTGAGCCCTTGGTATCATCTCCTAATTTTTCCCCCTCCCTCACACATGAATCCTTTATAATTTATAAACTATTATTATTTTTTCATGTCTTACACTGTCCGATGTCTCCCTTTACCCACTTTATTTTGTCCATCCCCAAGGGAGGGGATTGTATGTAGATCATTGTGATCAGTTACCCTTTCTCCTCCACCTTACCCTTACCCTCCTGGTAGCTCTACTCTCATTATTGGTCCTGAGGGGTTTATATGTCCTGGATTCCATGTTTCCAGCTCTTACCTGTACCAGTGTATATCCTCTGGTTTAGCCAGATTTATAAGGTAGAATTGGGATCATGAAGAAATAGAGGAAAGTTGTATGTTTCATCAG